CTCTCAGAAGGATGGAATATTCATCTGTGATCAGAGCATAAGGGAGAATAGTGGAAGAGAAGTCTGGAAAAGTAATTCACATTCTGAAAGGCATCCTTACAAACCACCTAAGGAGTCTGCCATCCTCAAATGAGCTTTAACATTTTTAATTTATGTTTTAGAAAGCTCCAACAACAATGCAGGTGATGGATCAATATTAAGAGGAAAGACAAAGGAGTCCATTGGAATTTGCCTCAATTACAAGCTAAAAGTTATCTGGCTCTTCCCTACTGAATAATTGAACTAGTAGGATATTTGCAAAACTCCCCAAACTCTAAAATCTTAACTAAACGACAGCAGTATTTCCCATTCAATGTGTGCACTTGCATGCGTACTATCTACTCAACAGACAACTTAGTGTGTCTTCTAGATGCCAGACAATAGGAATGTAATGATGAACAAAAACAGATATGGCTCTGCCATCATATTATGAAAGAATTTCAAGGGGAGGGTTATGACTGGAGAGTCTGACAAGTGTTAGGCTAAGAGAAGACGGCCGATGAAGTAACACTTGAGTTATCACAAAAATATGAGAACCTAAAAGAGCATTAGTCTATGTCTTTCAGCTACCAAAGGAGAGAACTCATTGGGAGTGAAAAAGACAAGGACTTGACAATCCTAGGTTCCAATTCCATTTACAACATCCATAAATTAAGAAGTCTTGGGAAATTAATGTAATCCCCTGCTTGAACAGAATTCCAACTCCTCACATGGTGGTTTTGAGAACTGTAAGAGAATGTACTTAAGTACCCAGAGCACAGTGCCTGACTAAGAGTAGGTATCCAAAAAATGTTCATTTAATTCCACACTTTCTTCACCCTTCAAAATCAGACTATGATAGAAATATTTATTTTCACAAAAGTAAATTATTTTCCCCAGTTTTCCTAAATCAAGTGCCAGGGATCTGGTAAAAGTCTTTGGCAGCTGAAAATTTGGATTATTCTCATATAATCCTGGAATAAGAACTTTAAAAAAGCTAATTTATGACGGAGATTTTTGAGAACACTTTTTAATCTTCTCAGAGTGCTTCCAACTTCTACCAAGTTTGCTGCCAAAGAAAAAAAAGGAAGGTATACACATTTTTTAAATCTAGAGAAAAATACATAAAGCAGAAAAATCTAGGTTTTAAAAAAATATCAACTAAGATAGAACTATGTATGTAAATAGTGTTTTTTTTTCTCCTAAAGCCCATGAGTAGCATAAATTAATCCACATACAACAGGACCTCTGGAGGAGAAAGAATGAAAAATGGGCCTAGCTAGTTTGGCTCAGTGGATAGAGCACCGGCCTGCAGAATGAAGGGTCCCGGGTTCGATTCCAGTCAAGGGCACATGCCTGTGTTGTGGGCTTGATCCCCAGTAGGGGGTGTGCAGGAGGCAGCCGATCAATGATTCCCTCTCATTGATGTTTCGACTCTCTCTCCCCTCTCCCTTCCTTTCTGAAATCAATAAAAAATTGATTAAAATAAAATGAAAAATGGCATCTAAGTTTCACACAAAGGCAAACTGATAAAGGGCAGTTGGGGGCCACCTACTATCAGTAAATGCAACAATTTCTAAAAAGGCATTTTTAAATAGTATTAAAGTATAAAATGTAGATTAACTTCTGAGGAGGAAAGAAATTCAGCTGAGACAATAGTTTATAGACTGATACAATTTAATGCTTTAATCCGGTTCTTGTTTAATTTTTATTCTTGTTTATATTCTAATAAAGTACTTTTCTGTATTTTTATATTTATTACCTAAATTCAGAGCCTGGATATATTAACTTATTAACCAGGTAGAATTTATACATTCAGATGAAATGTTTTTGAAACAAGTCAAATTACAAACTGTAATTTAGCAGACCACCGATTCACAACCATGTTTTGCTTCATCTTTACATATTATTTTTAATAGCCCTTTATAGCTCATAAACTATATCTAAATCGCATATAATTTTTGCGATGAATTAAAGTTATCCTAGATAATAACACTGCATTTTCTTCCAATTTTCTAAAGCAGCTCTGTTCTCCACAATTATTTCACAATCTTTCCATAATTCCAGACGTTATCGCCATTCTTTGACCTGTTGTCTAGCTGATTTGCACACAATTCAACAGGTGATATTGGAAAGTAATATTGTAAAATAATATTACAAGAAGAAAATTTTTTTTAAAAAAAAGTAGCCGTCAACTGGAAATAGAAGTAAACATGTTACATTTTAAATCTTAAACACTAACACAAATATTGACAGTGTAAAATTGTTGTTTCAATATAAAACATCTTGCATTAAGAGATCTGAGTTTTGGCTTAGTTGACATGCTATTTATTCCTATGACCTTTTATAAGTCACTTAGCTTTTCTAACACTTAGCATACAGTATTAAATGAATTAAATAAACCTCTCATCACACACACACACACACACACACACACACACACACACACACAGCTATAGCTCTGATTTAGTTATATTCTCCATAACAATATTGTGTCCAATGTATAAATGAGAAAGATCCATTTCAAAAATAAAAGGCATAACTTAACAGCTAGCAAAATTTCTAAACTTGAGTTTTAACTGCAACTTTTTCAAGTCAACAACTATTTATTGAGTGTCCTTGGTGCCTGTGACTATGTGAGTGGGGAAATACTGCAGGCAGAGGAAGAACACAAGGAGGTTAGGGGATTAGAAACACTCTGCATATGCCCACCACAGAAAATATTAATGTAGCAAAATTAAAAATGTGTATGTGGAGGGGAGAGGGGGGACAGTGGCAGTGTCCGTGGTAAGAAATGCTAGAGGTAATTGGCAGAATTACACAGGCTCTGTAGGCCGTATCGGTAAATTCAGACCTCTTCCCAAGACCAGAGAGGAATCATTGAAGTGTGTAAGCAGTGGTGTGGTGGGATGATTCAATTTCTAATTTTGAAAACTCCAGTGCACAGGATAGCAAGGCAAGACTGGAGACAAGAAAATCAGTTAAGAGACAGTTTTGAGATGATGAATTAGAAGGCAGTACAACAGTAATTAATAGGAAAACTTCTGCAGTTAGTTGCCTGCATTCAAATCTGTTTTCCACTTACCAACTTGCTGTTTCTGTTTTCTCTTCTATAATCCAGAGATAAAAAAATCTTCACAGGGGTTATTGCCAAAGAACAAATAAAACAATACTCATAAACAGCATGTTGCCAGGCACAGAGTTAGAATGCTAATGCTTATTATTAATGTATTGTTAATAGGCAGAGAAATTGAGAATATTACCTGGAAGATGTTTAGGAGACAGAAACTGACAGTGAAGATATAGGACAAAGGGGAAAGGAATTAGACTCAAGTTCCTGGCTTGAATAATGGCTCTATTTGAGAAGATGAGAAACACAGGTGGTTTGAAAGTTTTGAAGGAGAAAATAGTGTTCATTTTTTGGTATGCTGATAGTGAGAGACATTCCAGCAAGCAGGTGAATATGGTACTTTGAAGTGAAGGAAACAGATCAAGGCTGGAGGTCTGAGAATCTGAGCAACAGATGGTAATCTAATCCATGGAGGTTGGTGAGAGCCTCTGGAGAAAGGACATATGGGTTGAAGAAATGCTGGCACTAGATAGAAGCTATGGAATAGCAACATTAAAGGAAGCCTACAAAGGACACTGAGAGAAGGAGGGCCCGAGAAATAAGAGAACAGTGTGAGCACTCAGAACCAGAAGAAAAAGAAGTGCTTCAGACAGAGGACAGTGCTCAGCAACGTCCACACTGCGAAGCAGCAAAATAAGGACAGTTTTCACTGCATTTAGCAACGAATTACTCATTCACATAATAAATGTGTGTCAGGCACCAGGTCCTGGAGATGCAGTAGTAAATAAGTCAACAAGAGCCTTTCACACACAGATTTTATGTTGAAGATAGACAGTAAACTAGTAAGCAAAATACTTATTTGAAATAGTAGACAAAGTGACATATGTAAGAGTAAAAAGCACAGACCACTTTAATGAGTTTGGGATGGCATCTCTCTGAGGGAATATCTAAGCTGAGACCTAAAGCAGGAATGGGCTCAGCCTGGCCAAAGAATTGAAAGCAGCTGCTGAGGGCACAGCATAACACTGGAGGGATGGAGAGGAGCCACACCATGTTTGTAGAGTATGCTGAAGGCATGGTGAGAAAAGTTTAGATGACCTGTTAAGCATGTAAATAGGGAAGTTAAGGTCACTGTAGCTAATAGCACTTAGTTGTTTGCTTTTCCTCATTTATACTAGCCTTAATAATCAGAAATAGGCAGTGTCATCACTCTTTCAACCATTAACTGTTTATTACAATATCAGAATAAACTTTTCTATTTTAAAGGATACTGATTATAGCATGTTACCTCTAACATTAATATTACTAATACACTTTTAACTTTCCATATTTCTTTTGAATATATTAATCATAATATTTGCTTGATTCTATGACTAAATTATATTTCTCTGGGGTAGTTTCAAGCAATGTACATCAGAATTTGAATATTTTGTAGCAGGAAGAATCAGCAAGGTGTTACTAAAGCCTGATTAAACTCATCCAAAAAACTTCCATAGAGTTTAGATTCTGTAACCTTAGGTTCCTATCTCCTTTATATATTTGTATATATGTATATCATAGGTAAAAGTTGATGCAGAAAACATTGGCTTGATTCTGAGCAGCTGAATTACATGTTCATATTGTTTTTTCATTTCTTTATCTGCAAGAGGAAGAATTTATGGCCCTTTCCTATTTCATAAGGATATCAATAACATAAAATGATATTTACTTGATATCTATTATCAGGCATTGAGGTAGGAACATTACATAAATTGTGTTTAATCATCCTCATACTAAGACTGCAGAGGCAAAATTTAAGCCTATTTCTGTAATCTCAAAAAATTGGATCACTAAACCATGATGCTTCAGACTATTAACAGATTGAGTTTCTTAAAAATACCTATCTGATATGTTATTAAATCATAAACATGAATTTTAAATAACAAATGTCATTTTATTAAAATTTTAATAAGCTATGTACAACTTAGAAATATTTGCTATACACACCATTCCTATACATTTCTCCTTTTGTCATAACTTGATTTAATTTTTTTTAATAATGGAGAAGAGAGGTGAAAGACAGAAAAGATTAACTACAGTGTTACTATTCTGGATCAAAATTTTTCTCAGTTAATCTTTGAAACACATATTAAGTCCAATGAACTGCCTATTCTCATAGAACTTATGTATTTCTCAAAATTATAAATTACAAATGGCCTATAGTTTTCCTGAATCAGAAAAACCTAATCTCTGATTAGAACCTCTAAAGGTCACTAGTTCCGTGCATTCAGAAGGTAACAAGTCTCAATAAAAGCATCATAAATTGCCCTCAGCAGTAGCTACAGAGTTGTATTGTGAGCTCTTCCTGCTAAGATTTTTTCAGGTAGCTAAGTCATCCACCTAGATTCTGTCTAAAGAAGTCTAGATATTTAACAAAAAGAAACTACTGCCAGATCATCTTTATTTTCCTTAACAAAATACACACAAGAGCACAAAATGCACTTATAATATCATTATTTTACAAGTATAAATAATGCTCAGAACTCGTTACAGTCAAGTGCAGAAATATTTCCTATGCTATGTAAACATAAGCTAATTATAATATTATGTGCCTTTGGCCCAGCTGCAAAATAAGAGACATCAAAAAAGAAACACTGCACTTGACTATTCAATTGCATTCTTACTGAGAATTCCTATCAATGCCTATATAGTTAGAACTTTTATAGTGCTTAATGTAAATGCCTAAATAGACATTTCCCTGCCCCTGGCAAATATCTTGAGAGTAAAACTTCTATCCATTTTTAATGATGAACTATTAAAAATCTTGAGTTTCATTCCTTAAAACAAACAGTTAGAACTTATTTCTAACCAAAGTTCTTCCTATGTCAAAAATGGATATTATTTACAGGTCACACATATAAAAAACAAGAATGCTATCATGTTTGTTTACTTTTAGAATGCAAAAAAAAAAAAAAAATCTAAAAGCCAGTGTGGGTCTTTGTACATTCAAAAATATTTTACTTTACTGATATCACTTGCTTGTAGTTTTAATACCTAATAGATACAATTTTGACAAATTGAAATAGCTAAGCAATCTGAATTCAAATGATATCAAGCATATCCTTAGAGAGAGAAAAAAAGCACCGCCTAAAAAGCAATAACTGATATCAACAAACTACAGCTATCCAATTGAAGGCATGTGGAAGCATTTACTACGTCATCAATGATTCTCCACTTAATTCAGGATTAGGAATAGAATCAGGAATAGCATCAGAAATAGAATCAGGAACAGAATCAGCTTTGGAAACTATTGATTTGGCTTCATTCGCTGAGGTTTCCTCCTTCTCAGTCTCCTCTTGCTTTTCTTCTGGTTCCTCTGTACCAGATGCTTTTTCAATCACTTCATTTGTTTGCTCTGTGTCTGTTACTTTGTCCTCTATCTGCTCTGCAGTGTTACCCAAAACATCTTGTTCTTCTAAAGATTCTGAAAAGACAAAGAGTTAAGACTTCAGGAATACAAAAATGTTAAAATTGCTAAATAAGGTATATGAATTGGTACAACAGGAAAAAAAAAATTGGAGGAAAACAAATCCATACTTTATCTAAAGTACCATGTTTTCATAAAATTTAGGAATTTTCATATTAAGAATTTTCCTAAAGATGCATTTGAAAGTTGAATGTTCAATCAAACAAAGCCCCAATAGAATTATGTGCTGTAAGACAATAGCCCAGCAAACAAAATAAGGTATTAAATCTCAGATTATGTTTTTTAAAGAAACTGTCTCCCTTGTGCCAGGCAATCCTGTGAGCGGCGTGTAAATATGTACCTTTGCATGTATGTAGGTGGTGCTATTTCCTACACTGATTTACATCTCTATTATCCCAGACTTTAGAAGGTCTATAGACCAAGACCTTACATCTCTATTATCCACCTTTTCCAAAGGCATGACAAGTCTCCCCTTGTCCCTCTATATAAGACAAATCCTCATGATTTAAACCTCTGGGTCAGAATATGCTATACACCTACAATGGTAGGGAGAGAAAGAAAAGGGTCTTTGTCTTTTGTTCCTATCTCTAAAACGGAGACTAATTAAAGGTCTTGCTCGCCACCTAAAATTTTGTTCCTTTTAAATTCTCTACTAAGTTTCATTAAACTCAAATCTTATTATTCAATAACAATTTTATTATATAAAGTCTCTATAATTCTTTATGTTTAATGAATGGGATGGAAGAGGGAATGACCAGAGCAGTTTTTATAATAAATAGCAACTGCTTTTGCTAGGAAGATAAGGTTAAATCACATCAGCTAAACAAATAAGCAGATTTTCCTACCCCCATAGAAGATCCCTTATGACATACAACAAATGTTATTGATTCAGCATTTATGGAGTAAAGACCAGTCTACATCAGTAAAAAGTTCTAGTTTAGTTCCTTATGTAGTACAAAGTGTGTGTGTGATATTTTAAAACAATTATTTCCATACAGATATTTTAGAATCTATTTTACAGAACTGTAAACTTTTTTCCAATTTTTACATTTATGATGAATAGCCAAAATTATACAATTAGGAGCATCCGAGTTAATGAGGTTTTACTATATAAAAACTTCATATAACCACAAAAAAAAGTAGTAAGGAATGGTTCTCAAATCATATAACAAATGTCACAAAAATGCTATTTTTATTTCAAAAGGAATTTAAAATGGCATTGCTGCACCACTTCAAATCTTACAAAAATCCAAGGTAAAAAGCTGTAGAGTGACTGAGTCTGTTATTTGAATGTTCCAGTGCAAAAAGAGAAAGCAAACAGTGCAGATAAAATTCTATAGACATGGACAGATAATTCTGCTACTTGGGCAAGTAAGGCCTTCAATGGAAAACTTTAAGAGTCACTAACCATTTGTAATTCTACCCTAACAAAATTTATCAATAGAATTTTACATTATGGCTTTCCACAATACCTACTTGCCAAGAACTTTACAATTTGTTAAAAATTTAGTAAGCCTTCTGAATCAAACAAAGAAAGCCAAACAAAATGAAAGAAGTTCGGAATCCACGACTCAATTCACCAATAAACATGTTGAAGTGAACATAGGCCCACTGAGTTTGTCAGATTCTGTCAGACAGACTGCCTCAGTACTAAACAAGAGAGGTATCAAAGTCTATGGTAAATGTTAAAGCCCTATGATACAACTATTTTCAGAAACACATCCTGCAGGTGGGATGGTGGAGCAGGTGAGGGGTGGTGCCAGGCCACAGTAGGGTGCCAGGCAGGGCTGCAAGGCTGGAGGAATGAGCTGGGTCCCGATCTTACAGGCCACCTCAAGAGACCCCACCCATGCACAAATTCATGCACCAGATCTCTAGTATTCGATACACAAAATACTGCTTATTTACCATTGGTGAAAAAATCCATTAGATGAGTAAGAATGTCATTAAGCAATGCTACAAAATTGTTTGTTTGTTTTCAATGAAGGTATTTTAGAAAAGAGAATTTGCAGGCCAAAAGATCTTTATGAATAAAATAAGCATGCAAACTGTTACTATGGTTAATTTGCATCTTGAGTAAACTGTACATAATTAAATATAAATAAAGGTATAAGCTTTATTCTAGTAGATCTAGTAAATATACAGAATTCAACAAAATTTACATATCAAATAGTTAAATATCATAGAGCATCATAACAAACGATACTACAAATAGAATTTTCTCTAGATTAACAGAATCTAATAGTTACAGTATATTCCTTAAAAGAAAGGAAGAGCAGAAATCAAGTTATCAAGATAAATTTCTACGTTATATAAATTTTACTTGTTACTATTTATAGTATTGATTAGGTGCTATGAGTTTTATTAGCAAATTATTTCTAGTTGAATAAGAGCTATTTTTTCCTAATATATCGGGTCTAGTAATACTTAATGTCGTTTTTAAACATTCGTTTAAAATCTTGCTTGGCATTGACTTGTACTGACATAACCTTCAAACACGTGGTATCTACAGAACGTGTGAAGTGCAATTAACAAGTTTTGCTTGAAAAAGTTTGTGTTTGGTTTGGTTTTTGTTGCAAAACTAGGGCTAAGAAGATGGCGGATGAAGAGCATATTCGGCACTGCATGCTTTACGAGTTCCAATTAGGAAGAAAAGCAAGTGAGGCTGCAAAAAACATCTGTAGTGCTCTTGGTCAAGATGCAGTTAGCGCCAGAAAATGCCAGCGTTGGTTTGAGAAATTTCGCGAGGGAAATTTTTCGTTAGATGACAAGAGTGGTCAAGGCCGTGTGTCCAATTTTGATCAAGAAGCTCTTCAAGCTCTTTTGGTGCAAAATCCTCAAATTACCCAACAAGAGCTTGCGATAACTTTAAATTGTTCACAAAAAACAATTTCCAATCAATTGCGTGCACTTGGCAAAGTCCAAAAGTTTGGAAAATGGGTTCCTCATGAGTTGACCGACAACAACCGTAATCAAAGAGTCACAATTTGCAGTTTGCTCCTCTCTCGTCAAAACCGTTTGCCGTTTTTAGAGCAAATTGTTACCGGAGATGAAGAATGGGTGCTGTATGTTAATTTGAAAAGGCGGCCTCAATGGTTGGACAAAAATGAGGCTCCGCAGCCCACGCCAAAACCTGACTTGCATGCGAAAAAAGTGATGTTGTGTGTTTGGTGGAATTTTAAAGGAATTCTTCATTATGAACTTTTACCATCTAACCAAACCATTACAAGTGCAGTGTATAGTGCCCAATTGGAAAGGTTAGCCCAAGCTTTAAGAGAAAAAGAACCCGCGCTGATTAATCGGAAGGGCGTAATTCTTCACCACGATAATGCACGACCGCATACTGCAAGAATCACTGCTGAAAAACTGTGCCAGTTGAAATGGGAAGTTCTCCCTCAACCTGCATATTCTCCTGATATTGCCCCTTCCGATTACCATTTGTTTCATTCTTTGCAAAACTTTCTTCTTGGAAAAAAATTTAATAATGAAGAATGCCTCAAAAATGCATTGACCGAATTTTTTGCATCAAAATCACAAGAATTTTACAACAGAGGGATTAAAATGCTTCCTGAGTGTTGGGCACAAGTAGTAGAAAACAACGGCAACTATATTGTTGATTAAATTTTGTTGTATTGTTTAAATAAATTCGATTTTAAAAAGTATTAGAAAACGACATTAATTATTACTAGACCTAATAATTACATAAAATTTAGACAAATACAACTGAGCAATGAAAATAATATTTTTCAAACATGCTAGCCTAAAACCACTGAATTAGTATATTAACAATGTAAAAACTTCATACTCTCTTACCATAGCTAACAACAACAAAAAATGCTATATGTCAGGTATTTTGGATTGCATATTTTTTAAAAGCAAAACTGATAAACCACTTTAATGTGGTTTAGCAGATTCAAGTATTACTATACCATCCATTTAACCATAAAAGAAACTGAGGAACCTAAAAGCAATTCATTACTTTGAAATACCATACCTAGTATGTTCTTAGATACAAAGACAATCCATAGTCCTAATTTCTTGTGTTTCTTTAATATTCTATTACCAAAGCATTTTCTATAGACAATTCTAAAAACAACAACAACAACAACAACAAAAAACTTCTAGGAATTCAAATGAGCAATTAATGGAAGAAGTTTCTTCTAGGTCTCCTTCTCTGATGAAAACTTTACAAGATATCATATGTTGTTCTAAAGAGTGGTCCAAAAAATTCAAAAGCCTTGTGCTTCATCCTAAATGCAAAATCTAGTAGCAGAATTAAGACACAACTTACTTTCAAAGTTTCACATCACAGATTTTTAAGAAGGTGTCTTCTACTAAGTCTAGATTATTCATATAAATTATTTTAGAATATTCACTGAAAGAAAATTCAAATGGAAAAAAGTTACCTTTCATTCCATCTGTAAATTCAATAACTGAATTTCAACAGCTTTTGCTGCTATCAAGGAACTATTGCAATACTTAAAAAATATAAAAATTATAGCAGAAAAGTTGTGGAAATCAGAAATCTAAGCCCTCAATTACACTGCCTGTCAGCATAGAGAATAGATGATTAAGATAATATGATCTTAATAGTTCAATTTAATCATAAAGATATGCCTCCAGTGTTCAAAACAAATGCATCTTCTCTGTTCATCAAAAATACTTCCAGTCATTTACTGAAGGAATCCAGCTTGAAATTGATAACTGTATATCATAGTGTTGAGATACGAGTCTTGGAGAAAAGTTCAATCTTCTAGAAAGCCAAAGAAGTAAATGGTGCTCATTGCCATTTTAATGAATCCAAAGAGAAGTTTGAAAGTTACTACTCTAGAGATAATCTTAAATCAGATGCAAGTGTTGCTTCAGTTTCTAGCACTATGAAGTTACTAGACTCTGCCTCATATTTTGTCTTCACCTATTAATATTACCTTATTAGGGTTGAATATGACCCAGTTAGACTTCACTCCAGAGATTTCAGACAGAAAATGAGACATCTGGGGTATTGCTCCTCCTAGATTAGATGAGAAGGAAAGGTATAGCTCGGTGTTGTTTGCTAACTATCTATATTGACTTTAGCAGAAAATAAAAAGCATTAGGCTCATTATCAAGATTTTATTTTGTTGGCTGATTTTTCTTTTTCTTTTTGTCCCAACTATTGGCTTTCAAATATTCACTTTAGCTTTCATAAGTAAGGTTACTCATGGAAAGGACTTCAATGTTTCCTCTAGGCATCTTCAGTAAGAAAGTCTTTCATTTTCCAGTTCCAAGAGGGTGTATTGGTGAGGCAGATGATTTTCATGTGACAGCATGAAGCTCAGAGCATGACTTAAGCAAACAAAAAAAATCTATTATGTTTGGAGTTGATGTTGCAGACTTGGAGAAGATGAATGCTTTGATTCACTTTTGGAAGTAGCAGACCTCTTGTCATGCCTATCTATTCAAATTCCTTTTGGTATTTGTTATTAAGCCCAAAGCCAAGCCTGAGTCAACACATGTATTTTATTATTCAATTTTTTTAAAAAGATACACAAATTTTCATAAAACTTATCTGAAAATTCCCCCATATTATTTTTAAAGCAATTTTCCCACACTCAATGCTTTTATAAAGAAGAAATCAAATATATATAAATGATAATTCCTAAAACTTAAAAGGATGAATATTGATTGCTAAATAAACTATGTAAGCTAAACTTCCATTATGAATTTTTTTCTCTATAGCACCAAAATATCATAGCCTGAATCATAATTTTAGCAATCTTCAGAATTCAGAGCTGCTTAAAAACAGCTCCTCACCTCATTATTAACAGCAAGAAATAGTTGGCAATTAATAGACAGCTCTTCCAACTCATCTTTTTCATTTTTTTTTTTTCATGAAACTTCCTCAAGAATTCCTAAAATAGAATTGCAAGATAAGGCCTAAAATCCAATGAATTCTGATGAACTCTGTTTCTCTAAAATAAGGTTGTTTACATCAAGGCATGCGTCAGCAATGTTAGTCTCACTGATCAAGATAAACTGTTTCAAAGGACTACCAGCCGTACCAACACAGTCAACTAAAGGATGCAAGGATGCCTTTCCAATTCCAAGGTCTCTTGTTTGCAGTAACTTCTAATTCAAGTGGTAAGCAAAAGCTTATTTTATCAATATCAACTGCAATTTTTTAAAAATTGTATCTTATAGTTGCTCCATAATTATCATAATCTGCTCCATTTAAATAAAATGGGGAAAAAATGATTCCATAAAAACATTACCAGTCAAATCTTCCAACTGTTATTAGAAGAGGTCACTCCATAAACAATGTTTTCCTAGCTATTGCTGGATGCTGCTTAACAAGTTATATTTTAAAACTAAAACACATCATAGTAATTACACAGGAGGCTACAGTATCAGAGTGATAAGTGATATATGCATTCTGCAAAATCTGATAAATAAATCCATTCTTATTTAAAAGCATTATTCTGTTATTGTTAAAATAGTAAACATTATTAAGAGACAAAATTTTTTAATTAACACATTTATACCTTCACTTATCAGGTTCTCTGATGAAATCACACTTCCTGCGGGCAAGGGGCCAACTAAACTTGAGCCTTCCACAGCCTGCCTCTTCTCAAAACTAAACTCTGGCAGTCTTGGAGCCTGAGGTCTGGTTTTTCTTGCAGGATTCAAGAAAAAACAGTAGGCACACCGAAAAGCTGCAGAGAATTAAAAATAAATAAATAAACAAAACCACAAACCAAAGAAAACTCAAGGATAGTCAGATAACTCACAAGATTACTTTTGCAAATAGTCAAAGAACTCTTCGAAAGTTATTTATCCCTAGTGAAATTATATGTGGTTTTAGCAATATTATTGCAAGTGTTCTAACCAAAGCTAATTTTAAAGTATACTTTCTAATTATTATTAGAATATTAATTTTAGATTAGAAAAGATAAGTTATATAGCAGGTTAACTAAAAATTGCAAAACAATATTAATAATGACCTAAGTGTATTATAGAAATTATATTTCTAGTCACCAGAGTCATTAGGTATTTTTAAACCCAGAACCTTGCTCATTTACCCAAGAAAGTGTAGTATATCATATATGAGAAACATAATTAATTTAGTACAAAGTTCCTTAATAGTGGCTACACATGAGAATCATCTGAGGAGCTTTAAAACCATGCTGATGCCCAGAACCCTATCCCATATCAATTAAAGCAGACTTTCTTGTAGGTGGGCCCTGGGCTTCATACTTTTTAAAAGCTTTTCAGATGATTCTGATACACAGTGAAGTTTGAGAACAGCTGACCTAGAGATTGTACATTGTTATAAGAAAAATCTCATTTGTCTTTCCTGCTTTGCTATGTTCTAAAATAAGGACAATAGCTTGAAAAATATATACAGAGACAGTACCAAAATTAAAATGACATTAGATGGGAGCAGGCATAGAATAAAAAATTAAGCATAAAATATTTAAATCTAACTGCCTAATAATTCTTACCAATGTATTCAAATTCTTCTTTCAATGCCATGCCATTATGAGAAAAACACTGCTGACATATAAGGGCATACCTATACCAAAAGGAAAAATATACTAATTACAAATGCAAACAAAGCCCATGGGAAAAGCTACTTTAGCCATCATAGCTAACTTATATTTTAACATAACTAAGTATGTCCTATCAAACTAGATGTTCTTAGTAAACAATAAATAATACTGTTTAAACATAATAGTCAAAATTTCAACCATTTTAAAATATAATTTATGTATCAAATTAAAAATAAACTAAGCAATCAGTCAAATTAATACAACTTTTTTAAGTTAGCAGAAACATTTGGTAACAGAACACCTCAGTGTTTCCTAAAGTATCTGGGGATGATAGACTCAAAATATGTAGTCAGATAAGAATGGAAAAGATGGAACTTCTTAGGGATTCTCAATGAGAAGTTTTGTAGTAAAGAAATTAATTTTGTTTAGTTCAACCCAAAGATTAATTTCTCTACGCCATAATTCCTATACTTATCCTAGTTACACTTAAACATCTTCCTCACTTTCTATTTATAGACTCATTCTATTCTTTGTTTTGAATAACATATAATTTATTGTTAATTTTATCTAGCCCTTGTATTAAATTGATAACATTAACCAATAACCTTGTCAAATATCTACTCTACTATCCTAAAAAAAATTCTTAAGTCTATATTATGACAATTGCTATATCATAACTCTCTTCCTAAAATTATTATAAGGATCAAATAAATAATTGAAAGAACATTCTGAAAACTGTAAGTGCCAAATACATATAAATTGTCCTCATTGTTATTAAAATCATCACCATCACCAAGTCTAGCACTGATCTATAAAATTACATTTCTTTTCTTTTTTTTAATATATTTTATTGATTTTTTACAGAGAGGAAGGGAAAGGGATAGAGAGCTAGAAACATTTTTGAGAGAGAAACATTGACCAGCTTCCCTGCATACCCCCTACCAGGGATGTGCCAGCAACCAGTGTACATGGCCTTGACTGGAATCGAACCTGGGACCTTTCAGTCCACAGAACAATGCTCTATCAACTGAGCCAAACCGGTTTTGGCTAAAATTATATTTCTTAAAACCTATCAAGTTTTCACTAATTGTATGCTCTTCAATTTTAAAAGTTTTAGTGAAAAGAATCAATTTCTCTAAAAATAACTGTAGAGTAGTATTATAATATAGTGCTGAAATACATATATTTCAGTATTTTACTTCCATACTTTATCTAAATTCCTACTGGGGAAAAACAAAAACAAAAAACTGAATGCATACTCCTTTGCAGGGCTATGAAATAGTCCATTATGTTTTAAAATAAGGAAACAGGAGCTACAAAACTATAAAAATCTAGTGCATCTAGTGCATGCACACAAAACATACACACCATGACCAATAAACGTTTTCTTCATTTTCACTTTTTTTTTTACCATCCTCGTAAACATTACCTGTTTTGTGGACCATCACCAACTAAATATTCAACAACTCTATCCAAAGCACTTCGTTCTCGGGGGAGAATGGGTCTAGCTAAAGGTGGACCTGGAGGATGAAGACCTGGTAAATAAATAAACACATAAAAATTATATGTACAAAATACATATAAATTTTAATTCAGTTTACTAAGAACTACCTATGCTTTTTAGAGTTTAAATGATTTTAACAAAAATAACATTGATTTTTGTTATTTTTTCTCTGTAAATTATTTAACATATATAATTTACTAAGACATGAAATGATGTTAGGTTCTGTACAAACTAATTTTTAAAATGGCCAGATTCTTAAAAACACATGTTATAATAAATTACAGAATTCCACTTTGGACCATTATAGTCAGAGGGGTCATATTTACCTTCCAAACTAAAATATGATGCAAAATATATGATGTAACAGTTTTAAAGACAATGGATATCAGGCAATGTAAGATAAAGATTTCTGACAGACAAAAAGCAAATAAGATGAACCCTACAATTGCCCCAGCTTGTTGTCTAGAAAGAATTTCCAGGCAACGGCTCAGGGAGGGTAATCCCAGGTGAAGTAAACCCGTTTCCCTGAGATGAGATAAAGCTGGAACTTTGGGGAAGGCAAAGCAGCTTGAGTTCCAGGAAAGTCGAAGAGAATGCACAGAGCAAAGATTTACAGACTATTCAACAGAGTACTGACTGACACAAGCATATGAGGAAACTACCTGAGGACAGAGAAAACTGCTCCAAAGTATTTAAAGGTAAAGTAGCTCACACAGGGCCAAAAATATTGCATGTTCCCACCAGAGTGGAAAACTTCATAACTCGCAGGTCAAGGTCACTGATCAAGTATTCAGAGGAGTTTTGTGTAGGAATATAAAAATATTCCATATCCAAATAAGCAGAAAAATACAACCCATCATGAGAAAAATCAATCAAAAATGACCTTGAAATGACAGTGATAATAGGATTAGTAGACAAATATGTTAAGACACTTATAACTATATTCCATATGCTTCAGAACCTAGAGGAGACATTCACTGTTAAGTAGAGGCACAAACTTCTGCAGATAAAAACTACAATGTCTAGGATAAAAAACCCAGAGATGGGATGAATAACAGTTTGCATATTACAGAAAAAATATTAGTAATTATGAAGATATAGCAATTGAAACCATACAAAACAAAGACTAAGAATATTTTTAAATGAAAAAATCATCAGTGAGCTATAGAACCTCAAGCAGTCTACTCTAACATACATATGATTGGAGACCAGAAGAGAGAAAGGGAAAAGAAAGTAATATTTGAATAAATAATGCACCAAAATTTTCCAACTTTGATGAAAACTACAAACCATAGATCAAATATCAACAAAACTTAAGCACAAGAAGCATATTCAAAGTGTTTAAAACTAGTGATAAAGAGGACATCTTAAAAGCAGTCAGAAAAAGATACATTATGTATAGAAAATAGATATAGAAATGACAGCACATTTCTTATCAGAAAAATAAGCAAGTCAGAAGACAATTAAACAATATGTTAGAAATTCTGAGGGAAAATTATCGAATTAGAATTCCATATTAGTGAAAAAAGTCTTAAAAATTAAGGCAATGATGAAGACTTTTTCAGACATACAAACTGGAAATATTCATCACTAGAAGAATTATAAGAAATGTTAAAAGAAGTCCCTTCAAACAGAAGGAAAATGACACCAGATGAAAAGAGGAATACCAGAAATGCTTACCATGTAGGTAGAAATACAAAACTTCTACTTTTAAATCTTTTAAAAGATAACTGATGGTATAAAGAAAAAAATTAAGTTTTTAAAAATGTTTTTATTGATCTCAGAGAGAGGAAACTAGAGGAAGAGACAGAAACATCTGAGAGAGGAACATTAATTAGTTGCCTTTTGCAAGTCTCCCCCCTACCAAGAATGGAAGAGTGACCTCACTCTTGCTCGATGCTCAACCAGAGCCATACTGGCTGGGCAGGAAAAAAATAATTTGTTGTGGGATTTATAACATATGTAGAAACGAAATGTATGACAACACATTTAGCAGCACAAAGGCTAAGAAAAGAAAAATGCAAGTATACGGTTGTTAGAGTCTTAAACTATATATGAATTGGCACCCTATCATGTGTAAGTTGTGATATATCAAAGATATATACTGTAAACCCCAAAACATCTCATCGATATTTCTCTCTCTCCCTCTAGCTTCCTCTCTCTGAGATCAATAAAAACATTCTTTTTCATTATTTTTTTCCTTTATATCATTCAACTTGTATGTCTGAAAAAAGTCTTCATCTTTGTCTTCTTTTTTAAAAGACTTTTTTCACAAATATGGAATTATAATACTAAAATTACACACAAAAGCAATATAGCTAATAAGGCAACAAAATGTATAAAATGGAATCATGAAAAAAAAAAAATAATAATCCAGCCCAGCTAGTGTGGCTCAGTAGTTGAATGTAGACCTATGAACCAGGAGGTCAGGGTTCAATTCTCAGTCCCCGTAGGGGGGGTGTGCAGAAAGCAGCTGATCAATGATTTTTCTCATCACTGGATGTTCCTATCTCTTTCTCCCTATGCCTTTCTCTCTGAAATCAATATAATTAAATTAAATTAATTTTTTAAAATACTAAAAATCCAAGAGAAAGCAGAACATAAGAAAGGTAGCAGAACAGATAGGACAAATAGGGGGAAAAATAGCACAATAGAACATTTAACTCAAACCTATACATACCAATTATTATATTAAATGTATGTGGCCTGAACATCCTCATTATGAGGCAAAGACTGACAGAATGAACAAGAAAGCAAGGACCAACATAAGCTTCTTACAAAAAAAAAAAAAAAAAAAAAAAAAAAAAAAAAAAAAAAAAGACATTTTAAATATAAAGACCAAATAAGTTAAAAGTAAATGGTAGAAAAACATATATACACATATACACACCAATGTTAATACCAATAAAAAGAAATCTATAGAAGTTGTATTACTACCTAACACAGTAGATTTTAGAACAAAAAACATTCTCAGGAATAAAAAAAAAGTACTAATTTCATAATCACAAAAAAGTCAATTCATCAAGTGGGCATAGCAATCCTAAATATATATGCGCATCATAATAGAGCTTTAAAACACATAAAGCAAAAATTATAGAACTATAAAAAAAAACAAATATACAATTATAGTTGGAGATTTCAACAGCCTTCTCTCAATAGCTGGCAGGACAGCAAATCATATAGTGTTGATAAAGAACAATATTATCTACTACCAACTTGATCTAGTTGACATTTAATAGCCACTCTACCCAACAGGAACAGCATATAGTCATGCATTGCTTAATGACAGGGATATGTTCTGAAAAATGCAGCATTAGGCAATTGCATCATTGTGCAAATATCAAATTCACACTTATACTAACCTAGACAGTACATAACCTACTATACACCTAAGCCATCCTATATAATGAGAGGAATATGCTAATTATCCATTTATGCACTGAAGTGTAATGACCAACTGTATAATGACCAGATCACAGATCTGCAGGAGGGTGGGGCAGCAAACTATAAGCAGTTGGCCAAGAGCTACAGGAGGGGGCAAGGCAGCAAGCAATTGAGGGGGATAAAAGGGGGAGGGGGTAGCTACAGGAGGGCGGCAGCAACCTACTGGCACATGGATTCATGTGCAGGGCTACTAGTATAGTATTATACTGCCTATTGATCCCAGGCTACAAACCTGTACAGCACATTACTGTACTGGACACTGTAAGTAATCATAACACAACTAGAGGCCCAGTGGATAAAATTCGTACATGGGGGGTGGGGGAGGGAGGTCTCTCAGCCCAGCCTGCATCCTCTCACAATCCGGGATCTCTCAGGGGATGTTGGGCCTAAACCAACTTAAAAGTAAGCAAATGATGCCAACATTATAACTATTAGTAAATAAAATTTAGGTTCTAGAAAAATTAGTATTACAAATCAAGTAATTTTTTTGGCTTTCTCATAGAAGTTATTTGTTTACTTGTACTAACAACATTCAATCATTATCATAACAAAATAAACATTAATGCAGACACTTAAGTGTTAACTCCTATAAAATTTTCAACTTGAATAAGCATGCCAAATGAGATTCAGAAAGCATTTAAGCCAACTTAACTTTTGCTGGAATATTTTACTTCTACATGTTTAAAATGAAAATGTCCATAATGGAATCTGAATATATAAAACAACAGATTTCATAAATATATCTTAAAATCCTTACATACTTAAAATAATGCATATTCATCTTCATACTATTAAGGATAACGGTAATTAATACAAACATCAAGTGCAATCATTGTAGGAATACTGGTCATTTTTACATAGCTTGGCAAATTATCAAGTACCTGCTGCTTATTAATTTTCAAACATATGGGTGCCCTGTGGTAATACACATTAAATTGATTCTCTTCCACAAATATGGCATAATGAAAAAATGAATTATTAATCTTCTCTATAAGAAATCACTTAACTCATTCATATTTTTGGCAATGTTCAACATAAATAATACAGTCTTTTACACAGAAGCTAATTTAAAACTTTGGTAAAATGTTATATTGACATGATCATGAAATTTAGGCCATTATTCCTGCTAACCCTATTCTGAAATTTGCAATACAGTTTTTACTTTATATAAGTTGCTAAACTTATATTTCTTTAAAACTAATTAAATATACAACTGTATATAATACATGCATTCTCACCAAAACAGTAATTTCATTAAACAACTAAGAACTTTACGCATTATGGGTATCTCAAATCAGTCAGATAACAATTGAAAGATAAATAATTTTCAATCAATTTCATTTTTCTCAATTTCACAAAATATATGGCTATCTTAAGGAACATAATTATATGTCAAGTTTAAAAGTATTTTTTCAATAACTGTTTTGAAAAATGTTTGTATATATTTCATTTAGAGCCAGATTTCTTAATGTTTATAAATTAACAATTTTCTAGTTTTCTAAAATGTTATGCTGCTTTTTTTGAAGGAAGAGCAGAAAAAACTATCTACTGTAATATTAACATTTAGATTACTTATTGATTTTATTATATAAATGTCCTGAATACCTGATATCAACTACTGAATAGCCTCAAAAATCATTATAAATTATGCTAGTAATTAGTCATAAAAATACCAAAATAATCTAAATTAGAATTAACCTAAAATAGTATAATTTACAATCAAAGTCAAGAACCTGACATGGAAATCTACATAAACTAATGTGACTTGCTAAAGCAATGAACTTTCAAGCCCCAAATAAAATTGCAGGGTAATATAATGCGTTACACTCCCAAAATGGGATCGTCCCTAGTGATCCTCCACACTAAAAAAGGAGAATCTGCTCAATCAGTGTGGCTCAGTGATTGAGCATCAACCTATGAAACAGGGGGTCAAGGTTCAATTCCCATCAGGACACATGCCAGCTTGCAGACTCATTCCCCAGTAGAGGGTGTGCAGGAGGCAGCCAATCGTTGCATTGATTTTTCTCTCAACATCAATGTTTCTATCTCTCTCTTCTGCCCCTTTCCTCTCTGAATCAATAAAAACATATTTTTTTTAAAAAGAGAGAATCCAAAGGAATGAAATAACAGTAAAGAAAATATGCTAATTTAATGGGACTTTATACTAAAGTATCTGTCACAAAATACTAAGGTTCTTTGGCTTAAAAAAAAAAGAATACTTTAATACCAGTCCATATTAACAATAGTGGTATTGTACACAATAATGGAATATTCTTCCTGAAATATGTTAATTGTCCTGTTTAAAAATATATGTGAAGGATATGGCAAATCTATAAATATATTCCAAAAGTGTTCTCTTCTATCCCCATTTTAAATAAATCTGGAGCCATTCTAAAGGTGAATATAAAAAGATATGCTATACTGTTGACTACAGAATACTACAAAGTTTTATCGCCATTTAAACAAAGAAGCCATAACAGTTAAATGAGCTCAAGAAATAGATTTCAGTATCACACGGTGCCAGCTGTAAAGAGTTATGGCTAATTGAATATGGAACTCCTGCTTAATCAGATAACTGCTCTGCTATTTCCAAATGAAATGCCATTTCCATACTGTCTGAAAATGGCCCATTTTATTGGTAACCAGAGAAAACAATATAAACTGTAAATAACATTAAGTGCTCTGTTTACCCATTCCAGGCACAGAAGTAGCAGGGGATCCAAGACGTCTTGGTAACGCATTTGATGATAGGGCTGGAGTAACAGTTCTTTCTGGGGGCCCACCAGGGGCTGAAGTGTCCTTTGTTGGACCAGGAGAAACTGGAACTTGTGGAGGAGGGCCCTGGCTAGACCTTACTGGTGTTGAAGAAAGATTTCTTTGAGCTGCAGTTCGCTGACGAATCTCTGAGAAAAAGAACAAAAAGTATAAATCACATTTAATATCCAATATACCACATTAGCCAATACCACAAGTATTCTTTACATTTATTTTTGTGACAGCAAAAGGCATCTGTAGGGCCAAAACTGCTTATAATAAGAAATCTATAAAATGTAACATTGAAACTGACTAACAAAGTACTCCATTTCTGAACCTACGAAGTCAACTGCATATATTTACACAAGCCTTGAACTCAATCCATCTACTAATATCACTTTTCAAAATAAATTCAAGTAAAATAAAATCATCACCCACTGTGTCGTGTCTTTTACAGAGTAATCCTTCCTAGTTTATAATAAAGGAAAGTTAAAAAAAAGGAAAGTTTATCAGAATTTAGTGAAAATTGCAAGTTTTTCAAGATAAAAACAATGGTAACTCTAAGAAATGAGTGAATAAATATATTCTGGTACTATCAAATAATTTATGAGTTAATTAATAGTCATAGAAATGTTGCAAAAGTATTCTTTACTATTAGGTGTCATGCCTATTCTCCTTTACACTACTGCTATTTTCTTAGTAAATTTCTTTTTGCCAATACATTCGATAAAAAAAACAAACTTCCTACTTAGCATAAATAATGTATCACTATAAATAAATCTTATATTTAGTTGCAGAAATTAAAAGATTTCTGTAATGGGTTAGCAAATGTGCCATATCCAGGCTGCTGCCTCTTTTTGTAGTTTTACTGAAACACAATAATGCTCTTTTGTTTACATATTGTCAATAGCTGCTTTAAAGAGCTGAGTAGTTGTAACAGAGACCATATGGCTCTCAAAGCTGTCGTATCCTATATAATAAAAGGCTAATATGCAAATTAACTGAATAGTGGACCAACTGGTCCCTGTGATGAGCACTGACTTACCAGGGGCCAGGCGCTCAACACAGGAGCTGCCCCCTAGTGGTCAGTGCACTCCCACAGGGGGAGCACCCCTCAGCCAGAAGCCAGGCTCACGGCTGGCTGGTGAGCACAGCAGTGGTGGCGGGAGCCTCTCACCTTTCTGCAGCAGCACTAAGGATGTCTGACTGTCAGCTCAGGCCCACTGGAATGGGCCTAAGCTATCGTTTGGACATTCCCTGAGGGCTCCCAGACTGCGAGAGGATGCAAGCCAGGCTGAGGGACCCCCCTCAAGTACATGAATTTCATGCACTGGACCTCTAGTTTATTATACTTACTATCTGGCCTTTTACACAAAGTTTTATGATCCCCCTAACTCAGTAGCATAAAATTCAATTCTATCCCCATTCCCACCAATATCTTACTTGAATGCTGATGGTAACATCTCAAGTAAAGAAGAACGTATAAATTTTTAATTCTACATATCACATAAAGTTGTTATAAATCCCAAATTAGGCTGAAACTAAAGAAGTTAAATTTTAATTGGCATTATTGGTAAAAATGCACACTCCACAAGCAAAATACTTTAGATTTGGACTTTGACAGTTAAAGATTTCATGAAAAGTTAATTGCAATCAAGAGTACAGCTCTAGCATCAAATTTCAGTTTACTACAATTAACTCTACTAGTTAAGAACCTGGGCCCTCTGGTAACAAAGATTTGGTGAGAATACTGGCTGTTATTACTTTTTCTCAGATGGATTCTTACCTCACGAAGTTATAAGAAGATTAAAAAAGATAATATCTGTAAATTAATAGCTCATACTTATTGGATTACATACTATTTCAGATAACAGTGTTTTCATGCAATTAACTATTTTCAAATGACCAGTTAACTATAATTATTGGAGTCAACTAATTTTACATTGATTCTTAATGTAGTCTCTAATCCAGCCCCTACAGTAATGAATTATAAGCATGTCATCATTATATAAATAGAACCATCTTTATATTTAGCTATTTTCCATGCAATTTACATAGAAAGTTTCAGATTTTACCTGAATTTACTGTATCCTAATATCTCCTGCAAATTATTTGATCACTTAATAATTACAAGGAATTCACAAGCAACACCTTAAAAGATAGTTACACATTAGGAAAGCCATTAAATGCTACAAAAGGTACTGAGATCAATAAACTCATATTAAGGTTTGTTCATTTAAATTAATTTTCAAAACAAGGCATCAAATATTATAAATTATTTTTAGCTAATTTTCATATAAAAACACAACTTAAAAAATGACATTTCTTCCAGATAAAGTTTAACATTTATTAGGTTATATTAAAAGTAGCTATTAGCTTTTTCCTTCTTGGAGACCTAAGGCTGCTTCCTCTGAATGTGCATTTACCCTGTGAAAATTAACCAAAGCACATTTTTAATATCACTTATGTGCTACTAAAAGGTAAGGTTTATAACTAACTGGTAAGCAAAGAATATCATGTTTAACATTCCATAAAAGAGAATTAGCATAATAGTTTATAAATTTAAATTTAGGCAGACAAAGGGGAAGAAATGATATACAAAAGTCAGGAAAGGGAGAAAATAATATCATCATTTAAAAAAAAGCAGATAATAAAGACAGTATAGTGATTACTAGAGGGAAAAGGGGTGAGGAAGGTCAAAGAGAGTATAGGGGGATAAATGCTGAGGGAAGGAGACTGAACTTTGGGTGGTGAACACACAATACAATATGTAGATGATGTATTATAGAATTGTACAACTGAAACCTATATAATTTTATTAACCTATGTCATCCCAATTCAGTAAGAGGTAAATGTCAATAGTTAAAAATAGCTAGTGATACAATCTAAAACTACACTTGGTAAAGTGTTATGAAATATTCTGGTAAGGTTTGACTTAAAATATCTAAGATTTTCCCTAGTCAGTATGGCTCAGTTGGTTGGAATGTCATCCCATACAGCAAAATGTGGCGGGCTCAATTCCTGGTCAGGGCACATACCCAGGTTGCAAGTTCAATCCCGGTTGGGATGCATACAAGAGGCAGCCAAGCAATGTTTCTCTCACTGATGTATGTTTCTCTCTCTTTCTCTCTCTCTCTCTCTCTCTCTCTCTCTCTCTCTCTCTCTCTCTCTCTCTTCCCACCCCCCTCACACTGATGTTTCTCTGTCTATGTCTCTCTCTCTCTCATCAATTTTAAATAATAAAATGTCTAAGATTTCTCAACTTTTAGCCACTCACAAATGCCTTGTGTTATTACTACGCCAAAAAGTTTCTAGTACACAAAAAAGTAGTGATTGGTTATATTAAATATTTCCTACATTTAAATATAAAGTAGCATCCCAAAAAAAGATTTACTAAGCATTCCACCTCAATTTGGCATCTTATCTAATAAAAGAGTAATATGCAAATTGACTATACTTCTGCTATATCCACAAGCCACACCTATCAGCCAATCAGAGTGAGTATATAAATTAACCCCAAACAAGATGGCTGCAGCCTCAGAGAGCAGGAGGGAGGCTTGGGTTTCCCAGGCAATGGAAGAAGCCAAGCTTTCAGTCTGCCGCCCTTGCTGGCCTAAGCCTCCACTCATGGATACAAAGTTTCAATTATAGAAGGTAAACAAATCCAAACAAAAAAGGCAGCAGCCACGAAGTGAGAAGGAGGTTTGGCTCCACTCCAGGCTACAAAGTTTCAATTGTAGAAGGTAATAAATACCACATACCAGGGCCTCTGCTTAGGTTGCAGAGGGGCGTGGCTGGCCTGCAAATCACCACAGGCCCCTCGCCCAGGCCACCCCACACCCCAAGAGAACCCCCACCCTGATCCAGGACACCCTTCTGGGCATACCAGCTGGCCCTACTCATGCACCAGGTGTCTATCCTATCTAATAAAAGAGTAATATGCAGATTGACCATCACTCCAAAACACAAGATGGCTGCCTCATGTGCTCAAAGATCCTGCCCCCATGTGGACACAAGATGGCCACCATAAGATGGCCAGCAGCAGCGGGCAGTTGGAAGGGACCAGGCCTGCAAGGGAAGGTAGTTTTAGGTGATCAGGCCAGCAGGAAAGGGCAGTTGGGAGGGACCAGGCCTGCAAGGGAGGGCAGTTGGGGGTGATCAACCCTGCAGGGGAGGGCAGTTAGGGGTGACCAGGCTGGCAGAGGAGGGAAGTTGAGGGCAATCAGGTCTGCAGGGAAGGGCAGTTGGGAGGGGGACCCAGTTAGGGCAAAAAGGCTGTCAGGGGAGCAGTTAGGCATCAATTAGGCTGGCAGGGGAGTGGTTAGGGGGTGATTAGGCTGGCAAGCAGAAAAGGTTAGGGGCAATCAGGAGGGCAGGCAGGCAAGCAGTTGGGAGCCAGAAGTCCTGGATTATGGGAGGGATATTCGACTGCCCATTTAGGCCCGGGATTCTACTAGGATCGGGCCTGAACGGGCAGTCAGACATCTCTCGAGGGATCCCATATTGGAGAAGGAGCAGGCTGGGCTGAGGGACAACATTCCTCCCCACCCCCCGGGCACTAATTTCATGCACCAGGCCTCTAGTATACATGTAATTCCTTTAAATAACCAAAATAATAAAGAATGTGCATATGACATCTCTTCCTTTTACTTTCAAATTTTTCTAAAGCCTACATTCACTATATCATCTTCAAATCCTATTCATACCAAGATCCTTTAAATACAGCTTCTATCCTACTTCTCTATTGAAATTATTTTCTCAGTAGGTTGATGGCTTTTTATTAACAAAAATGACTCCAAAATCTTCCTTCCCGTAAAGGAAAAGCTTTTTGAAAAAAGCAAAACTTCCCCAACTTTTCACTCCTCAACACAACACAATCGGATTTTTGTGCTCCTTCATAGCTTCCACAGTATCACTCACCACTTAAAGTACCATTGTTTTGATCATATCACCATTATTGTCATTAGCATGGCTGCTCTTTACCAATCCCTGCTATCTGCTAGGAACTATACCAGGTGCTTAATGTGAGTTTACTAAACCTATCTAATAAAGGGGATATGCTAATTCACCAAAACTGGCAGTCGGACATCCATCTCACAATCCTGGACTGCTGGCTCCTAATCGCTCACCTGCCTGCTTGCCTCGTCGC